TGTGTCAGAACTACCTGCTGTGGGTCCCACGATACTCTGTCTAATATTTTGGGGCCAGGATTACCCGTTGCTGCTGTGAACTACCTGCTGTGGCCCCACGATACTCTGTCTAATACTCTGGGGCCAGGATTACCCGTTGCTGCTGTGAACTACCTGCTGTGTGAATTAACTGCCGTGTACTGAGGGTTGTCGTTGTCTGCTGCCGGCCGCTGGGAGCCAAAAAGGACCCCTGCCAGAACTGTGAGTGTCTATACTCCTGCTGCCCCTGCCTGGACTGTCTGTGACTTTCCCCCTTACTTTCCCCTGCCTGGACTGTCCATGAGCCCCTCCATTGCCCTGCCTGGATTACAATTGTTTTGGGCTCCGCCCCCCTCTACTTCCCTTGTTTGGGTATCCGGACGCTACCTTCCTACCCTGATTGAGTGTCTCCCATATGTCAATAAAGCTTGTGTGTTTATCATCTTCCGTGTGTGTTCTGTTCTGCCTACACCCCCTGTCACACCATCGAACATCTAAGTGATTCAGAGAAAGATTGGGAGAAAGTGCTGTAGTCAGATGAGACCAAAATTGAGCTCTTTGGCATTAACTTGACTTGCTGTGTTTGGGGGAAGAAAAATGCTGATTATGACCCTAAGAACAACATCCTTACAGTCAAGCATGGAGGTGGAAATATTATGCTTTGGGGCTGTTTCTCTGCTAAAGGTACAGGCCAACTTTGCTGCATTGAGGGGCAATGGACGAGGCCATGTATTGTAAAATCTTGGATGAGAACCTTCTTCCCTCAGCCAGAACACTGAAGATGGGTCGTGGATGGGTCTTCCAGCATGACAATGACCCAAAACATAAGGAGTGGCTCAAAAAGAAGCACATGAACGTTGTACAGTGGCCTTGCTAGTCTCCAGACCTTAATCCTATAGAAAATTTATTGAGGTAGCTGAAACTTAGAGTTGCCAAGCAACAGCCAAGAAACTTTAAGGATTTAGAGAAGATCTGGAAAGAAGAGTGGATCAAAATCCCTCCTGAGATGTGTTCAAACCTGGTAACCAACTACAAGAAACATTTTACCTCTGTGCTTGCCAACTAGGGTTTTTCACCAAGTACTAAGGCAGGTTTTGTTTGGGGATCAAATACTTATTCTACTCACTGAACTGCAACTCAGTTTATAACATTTGTATCTTGTGTTTTTTCTGAATTTTTGGTTGATATTCTGTTTCTATCATTTAACCGCCTCCCGCCCGCCATATAAGGAAATGACGGACGGGTGGTGGTTCTCTCTTTTTGGGAGGATGTCCTATGATGTCCTCTCACTCTAACCGCGATCAGTGGTGCACTGTATCCATGGGACACAGCGGATCACCAATCAGCAGAAAGAGCTGTTTTCGTCGGCTCTGTCATGTGATCAGCTGTGTCCAATCACAACTGACCGCATGTAAATAAGGAAATGCCGGTTATTGGCATTCCTCTCCTCATGAGCTGTCACGCTGACAGCTTGTGAGGAAAGCCGGTAATCGACATTCCTCAGAGGGGACATGTACACTGATCATCAGTGCCCTGATGATCAGTGTACTCCCATCAGTGCCACCTGTCATTGTCCATCAATGCCACCTGTCAGTGCCCATCAATGCCACCTGCCAGTACCCATCAGTGCCATATCAATGCCACATATCAGTGCCTACCAGTGCATATCAATGCCACATATCAGTGCCCATTTGAGCTGCCTTTCAGTGCCAACTATCAGTGCCAGTCAGTGCCACCTATCAGTGCCCATCAGTGCCACCTATCAGTGCCCATCAGTGCCACCTATCAGTGCCCATCAGTGCCCGGCTAACAGTTCCAGTCAGTGCTGCCCAACAGTGCCAGTCAGTGCTGCCTAACAGTGCCAGTCAGTGCCGCCTAACAGTGCCCATCAGGGCCACCTATCATTGCCCACCAATGCCACTTATCGGTGCCCATCAGTTCAGCCTATCAGTGCCCATCACTGCAGCCTCATTAGCGCACATCAGTGAAGGAAAAAATTACTTGTTTACAAAAAATTTTTTAACAGAAACTAACAGAAAACTTTTTTTTTTCAAAATTTTCAGTTTTTGGTTTGTTTAGCAAAAAATGAAAAACCCAGAGGTGATTAAATACCACCAAAATAAAGCTCTATCTGTCTCAAAAAATGATAAAAATTTCATATGGGTACAGTGTTGCATGACCGCGCAATTGTCATTCAAAGTGCGACAGAGCTGAAAATTGTCCTGGGCAAGAAGGTGGTTAAAGTGTGCAGTAGACAAAATACACCTATGATAAAAACTATAGACCCTTCATTTCTTTGTAAGTGGGTAAACTTACAAAATCTGCAGTGGATCAAATAGCTGTTTTCCCCACTATATTCTGCAGTTTTTATCATCACCCCTGGAAAAAAAACACAAAAAAAAAATACCATGGTCTTAAACATCACACGAATGTGTGTAAAAACAAACTGGTAAAAGAAAACACACTGTGTGACACGGTTAAAAGTGCCTCTTACCACATCAGATGGACCATCACTTTATAAATGGTCATAATATGCTCAATATATTATGGCCAAGGACGGCTTCACCATGGCATACAAACACCGTTAACAACCGATATCACCAAAGGATGAAAAATGAACAATCTCCCATCATGAATTATGCTTAAAAATCTATAATTTTTTTGTGTAAAAATTAGTGCCAACATTCACATTAAATAAGGTGCAAAATAGCAGAACTTAAAAAAAGACGTTTCTTACATAGAATACTGTTATAGCAGGCTGATAGCTTGGGCATAGAGAACTCTAAATCAGACCGGCCAACAGTCCAGACCTTGTGGAAGTGGACACTAATTTTTACACAATAAAAGGAGAGTTTTTATATGCCTCCCATATAAAGATTAGAATCATGGATGCAGAGAGGTTTTCAACAACACCAGATGCCATTTTAATGTGGATCGTCGTGTCTGCGTGAATGGAATACAGGATGAATACATCCTGTTGACCTTCCACAAGTAATTCTTCATTGCGCTAGCAGGCTGTTTTTTTCCCTCTTTCTAAGTCAGGTGTTAATGAGTCATTGGGGGAATCCCCTGCAATTAGGTTGCATGGTGCCACAGCAACCAATTTCCTAGATTGAACAAATGTCGACTCTTCTTAAAAACTTGTATGCTCGCATTAAAGTTGTCCACGTGCAAATGATACTCCCTTGCTGAACAAGGGTGATACCAAGTCCCACACTATCTTGCCACTGCTTTCCATGTAGTTTGGGCATTCAGGGGGCTCCACTTGACTGTCTTTTCCTTCATAAATTGTAAAGTGTCGGTTATGTATAGCCTGTGGCCCTATCACAGAACTTATACAGTTGAATAATTTTGACCCCTTATCTATCACGTATGCGGGAGAGATACTGCTTGAATACAAGCTTGAATGCCTGCCAGTAAAATGTTCAAGAGACTCGTCTATGCAGATGTTTTGTAGGAGTGTATACACATCTGCAAATTTCTGGGATAGGTCATTTATGAGGAGCCAAATTTTGTGGAGCCAATCATAGTCAGGGTCACCCTGAGGGCGACAGAGTGTCATTGAAATGCAAAAAATATATTATTGCCTCATATCTCTGCCTGTCCATTACAGCAGAGAACATGGGCATATGATGAATTGGGTCTGTGGACCAATATGACCACAATTTATTCTATTTTGTAATGCCTGTGTTAATTCTTAGGACCAAAAAAGTCTTAAATTATTATTATTATTATACAGTATTTATATAGCGCCAAAGGGTTTGCTCAGCGCTGTACAATAGCAAGGGGGACAGAACATGAGACAAGACAGAAACAATACAATACACGAGGGGTTCGAGGGCCCTGCTCTTTCGAGCTTACAATCCAGGAGGGAGGGGAAAGTGGTACAGGAGGAAATAGCTGTGGGGAATGAAGTGGAGGGAGGAGTGGAGGAGGTCAGCTGTTAGGTGAGGGTAGGTGACAGTCTGATGGATTGGGGTAGGGAATTGCAGAGGATGGGGGAAGTCCTGGACAAATCCTGCAATCGGGCATGGGAGGAGGAGACCAGGGAGCTAGAGAGTATGAGGTCCTGTGAGGAGCGAAGGGCACAGGTAGGGTAGTATTTGGGTATCAGGTCGGTTATGTAGTTTGGGGCAGCGTTGTGAATGGCTTTGTAGGTCAGGGTTAGCAGTTTGAATTTGATGCGCTGGGCAATCGGGAGCCAGTGAAGGGATTGGCAGAGGGGGGTGGCGGATGTGGAGCGGTTGGTGAGGTGGATGAGTCTAGCCACTGAGTTCAGGATCGACTGGAGTGGGGATAGCGTACGTTTGGGTAGGCCAGTGAGAAGGGAATTGCAATAGTCCAGGCGTGAGATGATGAGGGAGGGTACGAGTTGTTTAGTAGTGTCTGGGGTGAGGAACGTGCGTATCTTGGAGATGTTGCGGAGGTGGAGCCTGCATGATCTTGATAGCAATTGGACGTGGGGTAGGAAGGAGAGGTGTGAGTCCAGGGTGACACCCAGGACTTTGGCATGTGGGGGTGGGAGTGATGGTGGCGTTGTTAGTAGTGATGGAGAGGATGGGGGGGGGGGCGCGGGGTGGGGGGAAATTCAGATACCATGACAGGTTTTCACTACAATTGCCTGGCAAGGTATGAATTTGGGTTGGTGGTGATGTACTGTTGCAGATAAAGATACTTTGGTCCACAATCAAATTATAGAGGTCTTCAGTGAAAAACAGTTAATAAAAGTCAAGGGGTGTTATTAGGTTGGCTGTTTCTACCTGAACTCTGGGCTGGGCTGTGAATAGGGGGATAATGGGTGCTGCTGAATCTGAGACAGGCGTTAGCCTTCCCGTGCTGCCCACCTACAGTACTGTGGGTGGGCAAAAACAGGTTAATACACTGGTAGACATAAACTGAAATCAAATTATACTGTATGAGATAGCTAACGTTTTATTTTCCTGTTACTACTAGCAATGTTATTTCCTTTTTTTGGCTGTTAGGGCTTTACAAACTGGAACAAAAGAGACTTCAACCAATTTATTAAGGCTAATGAGAAATATGGCCGTGATGATATTGATAACATTGCACGAGAAGTTGAAGGAAAAACACCCGAAGAGGTCATTGAATACTCAGGTCTGCCATCTACCATTATGTTTGTTTTTATTGATATTATAGTAAAAAAATTTATTTTGTTTATACACAGGAAATCACTAACTGGTAGCTAAGAAATACTTGCAGCTTTCTTTGCTCCTGGGTTCATATACTAGGAAGATAAGAAACAACTTCACTCTGGCTTAAATGTCAGCAGTCATGCATAGATACTATTGCAAGGCTGCTGCCGCTGTGATGGTGAAAAATAAAAAATTAGGCAGAATGTTTCGATTTGGAGAAGAATATATATATATAGAGAGAGAGAGAGCAAACAGAAACGTTTAGTGAAGGCAGGCAATGCAGGATTAGAACATAACAGAGAAGCCTGGGAACATTTTGTTTTAAGTAAGATTTTACTGAACTTAATTAACGGGAATGATGTAGGAAATTGTTTTAAATGGAAGTATACTTGATGCTATACCCCATAAAGATATTACTTATCAAAATAATGATTTGTTTTTTTTGCAGCTGTGTTCTGGGAACGTTGCAATGAATTGCAGGACATTGAAAAAATAATGGCCCAGATTGAACGAGGTGAAGCAAGGATCCAAAGAAGAATCAGCATCAAAAAAGCATTGGATGCAAAAGTAAAATTATCTTAAACCATTTTTTTGTGTAGCAGATGTGTCCCATTTACTAGCATTGGGTTCTCTTTCCACTGCCCATGTACAAAACAGATGAGCTCCCTATAGAATAAGTGTTCTCACTGCTACACAGAGCTCTACTCCTTTTGATTTAAGCCTGATTCACATTTGTGTGACACACTTTAGATGTGTTGCACTTTGGGTGCATTCTGCATGCATTTTAGTTGTGTTACCATTGAACTCTATATAACGTGTGTTTTGATGAACGTGCATCAACGGTGCAGCAAGCAGAATTTTTTCAACGCACCACACTACATAAAACGCACATGTGTGAACAGGCCTTTGAAAGAACATAAAGCAGCTTTTTTGTGCATTTGTTTGCCTGCATTTTCTCGTTCCAGTCAAATACATGATATCCTTCAAAATGAAAAAAAAACAAGCATATGGTGGGATCATAGTTTGTTATCTTGGTGTATGAACTCAAGGGAAGTAGGAAACATACTTATTTGTACAAATATGCAGGTCTGTGTACCTAGCAACCACACCAAGTGCTCTCTGTAGAAGAGCCCTGACTGACTCACAGTGCTTTCTTTTTTCAGTGTGAATGATCTTTTACAGGAGATTACAACAAGCTAGTAAAAAGACGGCTTTATTTATAGCTGTATTTAAAGAATGTTGAAGTATTTTAATAAATACATTATTATATTAAGGTGTACATTATTATTGTAATCCAAACTGATTTAAAGAAGAATTATGGGCAGTTTTTTTATTTTCCCATGCAGTGGGGCTATGCCTGCTTTGCGTGGGTTAAGTGCTTGTTTTTGTGTAGTTGTTCAGAAAGCGGAGATATACTTACCTAATCCGCTGATCCTCCGAAGGCAAGACTGGTCCCTTCCACTCCTCCTTCCCCTGCATGCTAGCGATCTTGTGAATGGGCTATTCCTGACGTCATCATGTCCATGGACCCGCCTCTGACGTAAGGACTGCAGGAACAGTCCCAAAGGATAGGGTAATTATAGCTTTTCCATGAGCCCCTGGAAAAAACGAGCAGTTAACCCATGCAAGGAAAAAATGTCACCAGCACACCAAGGATCACCAATATGGGTCCAAAGGTTTTAATAAACCATCACATAGTTACAGCAAGGCAACGTTTCGGAGTCTCGCAGGACCCCTTCATCAGGCATGTGACAAATCGTGATAGAAACTGGCTAAGATATATAGATGATATCTTCCTTATCTGGAAAGGGAAAACATCTATTTTTTATGAGTTTGTTGACCAGCTTAATGGCATCTTTCCTGGTATCATTTTCAACCCCGAGATATCCCCCAACAGCATTACATATCTTGATGTGAGGATCACTAACAATCAGGGTACACTCCAGACATCTGTGTTCTCAAAACCAACGGACAAGAACACCCTACTACATTACCAGAGTGCACATCCCAAGCATCTCCGTGATAGCCTGCCTATCTCACAGTTCAAGAGGGTGTTACGCATTTGTTCCTGTATGAGTGACAGGAGAGAACAACTTGAGGCCATGTATAGAAAATTTGTGGAAAGAGGTTATCCTACTCGAGTACTTGATCAGGCATTAGCCAGAGCTATGGCAGATTCTGAAGGCAGCCCTAGGGCAGTCAACAGGCCGCTCTTTATACACGGCTTCAATCAGGCATCTGAGCGTATTAAACAAGCGGTCATGCATAACATGAACATCCTTAGAGCTGATGACACTCTATCACCCAACTTAAAGAATCCACCATTGATGGCGCATAAGCGAGGTAGATCCCTACGTGACTTATTAGTTCAAGCGGACCCTAGGACCAAATACGCTAAGGCAGTATTTAAGTTCTCAGAAAGACAGGGTTGCTATAAGTGTTACAATTGTAATGTATGCAACTCATTGATCTGTGGGGAATATTTCACACATCCCCACAGTGGGAAACGTTACCAGATACAGGGTTACCTGAACTGTAACACGGATCACTGCGTTTATATTCTGAAATGCTCATGCTCACTAGTTTATGTGGGCAAAACAAAAGGTCCCTTTAAGCGAAGATTTCAGAAACATAGGAGTGACATTAGGACAGCTCTAGTCAAGAGTACCAAAGGTGAACCCATTGATTTGAGTAAACCCGTAGCGGTCCATTTTATTTCGGCAGGACACCAGGTACATGAATTGAGGGGCATGATCATTGAACACGTCAGTCGATTGGCGAGAGGAGGAGATCGTGACAACTTCCTCCTCCGTCGTGAAGCTTATTGGATCCATACCCTTGACACAACACAACTGAGGGGACTTAATACTAACACATCATATTTGTGCTTTTTGGATCGCAGATGAACTTTGGTTATAATGATTCCTCATGATTGAAGTGTATATAGTTTTGTAGATAACTTTTGGTTTAGATTTTTCACATTTGCACTATTCACAGTGGTCTCTCTCTTTCTTCTTGCAAGTAGGCGAGCTGTGTCACCCCTTTACATTCCTTTTTTTTTTTTGCCTCTTTTCCATTTTATCACTCCCTTCTCTTTCACTTTTCCCCAGCTCCATTCATGGACTGATTATCATCATTCTCAGGGCTGGTTCGCACTATGAATACGTAGTCGAGATGCGTTCCAGATGCGTCTTTGCCTGTGCGTTTTGACACGGTTTTTGGCATATCTTGTGCGTTTGTTATGCATTCCAAAGTATTTTTTATACATTCTAGTCCATTTGTTTCCCCTCTCTTTTTTCATTTGAGATGGGGATATGTGTAATTGGCATATTTTTGGTGCACTCCGGTGCGCTTTGATGCGTTTTGCAGTATTCTAGTGCAACTCTGTACGAGTGAGATGCGGCTTGTTCTGCTTTTTATCTGCAGCTGGAACGCACTGGAACTACGAACACTGATGTGAACTATGACATTGGCAACCATGTATAGTATACTACTTTATCTTTGGATGCAGATGAAAAGTAACTGAAATGCATGTGGTGTGAACTAGCCCTCAATCTGTTTTCTTTGTGTTCTTTTTTCTTCACAGCTCATCTCTGCAACCCCGCCCACCCACTGGTTTGTGTGGCGTCGGCGCCATATGTTTCTATGACGCCGGCGATTTGCCTCCGCCTTGTCCTTCCCGGCGCCAACATCATGGGTTTCCATGATGATGGCGACCGGTGCAGGAATGTCTTTGAGCGCATGTGTGAGTAGTAAACTCTCATGGTGCATGCAGGTGACATGCGTCGCTATGAAACTGTCGGCCGCTGCACTAATAGGACCACTGTAGGTGTGTCCCCATTGCAGCTTACTTGGCAATCGGAGACAACCCCCTCCCATATTTCTAGGTAACAGTCTTTATCTTCTGTCATGGACATATATGCTGCTGGTTGTTGATTCCAGAACCCAGCGCTGCTTTCAGCTGACACCTTTATTACAATCCGGGGAGTACCATGATACACATGTGACCACAATGTTTATATCCCCAGGAATGCAGTTTATGTACATCTGATTATTGTTTATTTATTTTTGCAGTTTGTATTGTTTCTGTTTACATTGATTTGAATACATTTTTGGAGGGAACATGACATCATGGGGTGGGGCCAAGCTCATTTCACTTCACTCTGATTGGTGGATGTTTTTTTTAAATAGTTCTCCAGTTTCTATCACGATTTGTCACATGCCTGATGAAGGGGTCCTGCGAGACTCCGAAACGTTGCCTTGCTGTAACTATGTGATGGTTTATTAAAACCTTTGGACCCATATTGGTGATCCTTGGTGTGCTGGTGACATTTTTTCCTTGCTGATTTTGTTCGGTTCCAGCCGACGGGTCACTGCAGCACCCACTCATACACACAGCCATTTTTTAACGCAGGAACGTGTGCGTTTGGATCATATACTTGCAGTTAACCCATGCAGCGCAGGCAAAGCCTCATTACATAGGATAATACAATTTTTGACCAGACTTCTGCTTTAAGGGTGTATTTTAAAATCTATCTGGAGCAGTGAGGTCTGCTTGTAAATTAATTGGATGAGTTCAGTTGAGCTGCAGTAGTAGTGTTTTATAATCAGGGATCAGGCTTGGAGTCCAGTAGCTATAGCAGTGGAAAGGTTCTTATAGGAACTAGCAGTATAAATACACAAGTAGGTCCTCCTGGAGGGTGACTCGGGCTCACCCAGGGCACAGGGTCAAACCACTAAGCAGTCTTCACCAGAGCTCCTGACGGTGGAGAAATGGGTTTTGCAGCATACTAATGCCAGGTTACAGTCCTCAGGATCATCCCACCAGGAGGTGAGCCCAGCTGGGCTCCAGTAGCACAAGCCAAAGGTTGGTAACAAGCAGTTGCAGGTTGAGGTCAAGTGGAAGTGTAGTCAAGGAAGAATCAGACAAAGGTTGGTAGTGAGTGGCAGTTAAGATACAGATTGCAGTAGGGGTACAGGGAGCAGGATATTGGCTGGAGAAGAGAACAATAATCTGGTAAACAGGAAGAGCAATGGCATGGCTTAAATAGGAAGTTTATGGGAGGAACAAGAAGTTAAAGGTTCACCAGACGCAAGATATAAAGTAAGGTTCTCCAAGGGATCAGGCAGAGAGCTGTCCAGTATCTCAGGTAGCACAAGAAGAGAAGAAAAAGAGGAGTCATTTCTAGATGCAACAGAGGTGCTAGATTCAAATGTGATCCTGATTGGTAATATTGTATTTTGCTTATAATGGTGTTTGCTGAAATATACAGTGGGGGTTATTTACTAAAACTGCATGGTGCAAAATCTGGTGCAGCTCTGCATAGTAACCAGTCAGCTTACAGGTTTTATTATCAAAGCTTAATTGAACAAGCTGAAGTTAAAAGCTGATTGGCTATTATGCACAGCTGCAACGGATTCTGAGCGCACCAGTTTTAGCTACTCTCTCCAGTAATATGTATAACTTTGTGGCTAAGCCTGGTTCACACTGGATCAGACTTTTAAATCTTGAAGTTCACTTGAAGTCGCACGATTTCAGTTGCATGTCAGTGCGACTTCAGATGCGATTTGAAATCGCATTGCATGACGAGTTGCATAGGTGTGAACTAGGTCTTACACTGTGATTTTAATAGTGTTTTTTATTTGACCTAATGTTAATTATACTGCTCTCGCTGTTATTAGATCGCAAGGTACAAGGCTCCATTTCATCAATTAAGGATACAGTATGGAACGAACAAAGGCAAAAATTACACAGAAGAAGAAGATAGATTTCTGATATGCATGCTGCATAAAATGGGCTTTGACAAGGAAAATGTATATGAAGAATTGCGTCAGTGTGTGCGAAATGCTCCCCAATTCCGATTTGATGGTTTATCAAATCAAGAACTGCCATGGTATGTACATTTTATTAGTCATGTGCAATTCCTCTTTATATATGCTTTTAAAAGTCTGATATTAATATCCTGCTTCATACGTGCACATTTATTAGATCATACTGCATGCCACTACAAATACTTACAAAAGATAACCAAGATCCTAAACAAGTACAGTCATTTACCTGTCCAACAAATGTAAAGAAGAAATCACAAATGGCTGCATGTTACATGCTAACATAGAGCAAACAGATGTTTGCTTTCATGTTTCTAGTGAAGCAGGGTCAAAACAACAAGAAATACATAAAAACAACCCCTGTGCTTATAGGCCTTTTGTATATTAATTGTTTAACATATGCATATTTGCTGGGTTGAAATTATGAGCTTTGTTTGGAATGGTAGTTTTAATAGTATACTGTACATGTATTCAAATGCCATGCAATAATGACACAAACATGGATAGTTCCATAACTAAATAATGACCTCAGAATTGAAATATCTATTTTGAGATAGCTAAAATGTTGTATATCATATACAGTTTTCAGCATAAATGAGTACACCCTTTTTGAAAAGTAAGATTTTAATCAATATCTCAATTACAAGAATAATTTCCAAAATTTTGACAAAACTGAGCTTTATAGAACATTTGTTTAGCTCATTACATGAAAGTAAGGTTGTTGCTGACAGCATGAAATGGGAAGGGGTTTTCTTTGTTAACTACATACCCTCCAGGGGATTTACCCCCCTTCCTGACCAGGCCATTTTTACGATATGGCGCTACGTATTTGATCACCTTTGCGGGTTTTTTTTGCGCTATAAAAAAAAGACCGCCAATTTTGAAAAAAATAACAATATGTTTGACTTTTTGCTATAAAACATATCCAGTAAAAAAATTAAAAAAATCTAATTTCTTCCTAAATTTAGGCCAAAATGTATTCTACACATCTTACCTAAAAAAAAAAAAAAAAATCCCAATACGTGTAAATTAATTGGTTTACGTGAAAGCTATAGCATTTACAAATGGTTGTATATACAGTATACTGGAATTTGTTTTTTTTTTTTTTTATACTAGTAATGGCAGTGATCAGCGACTTATAGCGGGACTGTGGCGGGCATTCTGACACTGGGGGGAACTGACTAACTGCCACTGACATCCCAATTACACTAATACAGGGATCTGGGCTAGGAAAAAACACTGACACTGTACTAATGACAGCTGAATAGCTTTGTAAAGCTTAGTTTTTTAGCAATAAGTAGTTATCCCACCTAAAACTGATGCAACAGTTACGGGTTGGCCAAATTGTCCTCTGGCTTCATACAATTGAAGGACACAAGTTGTGAGATCTACCCACTGGAGTTCCATACAGCCATCTTCACATAAGTTAGTCCTACTCTTCCAAATGCTTAAATCCTTTTAGGATTTGTGGCCAAGTGAAATTTGCAGATATTGTCTGTTTTAGGCCAGGTTCACACTGGTGTGCTGCAGTTTAGCCACAGCACTGAAGTATGCATACTTTTTGTGCTTTTACCTGTGTTTTTACCAGTGTACTTCTATTCTGAAAGCGTGCCTATGTGCTGCATCTTTACACTTTCAGAAAATGCAGCAAAAACCTACAACCTAACAGAAGTCTATTGGACTGCAGCAAAAAATGAATGTAAAATGCACAAAAAACCACAGACACATTCGTGCTGCGGACAAACTGCAGTGCACCAGTGTGAACCTAGCCTTAAGGTGGCTTTACTATGCTGCACCGACTCAGTAAAGGGGTTTTTGGTTGCTGTAACCCCTTCCCACTGGCCTTGGTGTCCCCTTTAAAAGTTCTTAACACCCAGGAAGGTGGGAAGGATTAGCGATCATATGACCATTGTGATTGGCTGTCACAGCAGTCACATGATCTCAAGCTGGTCCCTCTGACTACCGATGTCTTCTTGAGACAAAGATCCGTTTTGGGCAGCTTGGTATTTGTGCTGGAAGCACACACCCAGCACATAAATATTGACTGCCCAGTGACGCATATGCCAAAAACCTACAAAACTCTATGTGGTTTGTAATTAATGGCTGCCTGCTATTAGATTGTATTTTTGCTCTGCAGTTGTCCTAGGGAAAAAAAAGAATTACCGTACTTGCCTGGCGCCACCTGTAATATTTAAAAATCAGGAATAAACTTCTTATTTTTGTGATTTGTTAAAGGACTGTGTTGTGCTCATACACAGTAGAAAAAAAAAATTAAAAAAAAAAAAAGAATTGTGACACAAGCCATATTGTAATATAGTATTATTACAAAATTATCTTTCCTGTTCAATTTGCAGCACTGTGATTTTCTTTTAAATTCAATGCAATATGGCATCCTGGAGACATCCCATATATCACTGGTGTATGGAACACCCCCGGAAATATAATTTCCTGTTTGTGTGATTGGCTCATTGATTTTTCCAGAAGTCTGCACTAAGATACAAATCTGATTTTGAGCATCCTTGCATCCTCTGCAACATTAACTGCATTTTTTGTGAGATACTTCCAAAGGGTTAATGACATCTAAAGGGATTCAGACCGCTGTCCCCATTAGAACTCTGCAAGTGCAGTAGCTGATTAGTAATTAAAAAGGCACTCCCATTCACATTCATATTGCACATGGACACTGACAAAAAAACAACTATTTCTTCAGAATGACAAAAGGTAGAAATCTACAAAAAAGTTTGTTAAAATCCCTGCAATGTTCATTGATCACCCAGAGGGGAATGTTTTTTCTCATCAAATGTGGAGTTACCCTTTAAGCTCTCCACTCCATAAGTTGTTTGGTATATATTTTTTCTTACTCCTTTTGCTGCATTCCCCACCTTTTAAAACAACTAACTACCGTATTTGCCGGCGTATAAGACGACTGGGCGTATAAGACGACCCCCCTACTTTTCCTGCTAAAATGTAGTGTTTGGGCTATACTCGCCGTATAAGACTACCCCTCTTCCAGTGCACACCAGTGGGAGGAATAGTGCCCCATCATCGGTGTCAGTGGGAGGAATAGTGCCCCATCATTGGTATCAGTGGGGGGAATAGTGTCCCATCATTAGTATCAGTGGGGGGAATGGTGCCCCATCATTGGTGTCAGTAGGAGGAATAGTGTCCCAACATTGGTGTCAGTGGGAGGAATGGTGTCCCATCATTGGTGTCAGTGGGGGGTGGAATAGTGCCCCATCGTTGGTGTCAGTGGGGGGTGGAATAGTGCCCCATCATTGGTGTCAGTGGGGGTGGAATAGTGCCCCATCGTTGGTGTCAGTGGGGGGGGGAATAGTGCCCCATAGTTGGTGTCAGTGGGGGGGAGGAATAGTGCCCCATCATTGGTGTCAGTGGGGGGTGGAATAGTGCCCCATCATTGGTGTCAGTGGGGGGTGGAATAGTGCCCCATCGTTGGTGTCAGTGGGGGGGGGGAATAGTGCCCCATCGTTGGTGTCAGTGGGGGGGGGGAATAGTGCCCCATCGTTTGGTGTCAGTGGGGGGGAGGAATAGTGCCCCCATCGTTGGTGTCAGTGGGGGAGGAATAGTGCCCCATCATAGGTATCAGCGGGAGGAATAGTGCCCCATCATTGGTATCAGTGGGAGGAATAGTGCCCCATCATTGGTATCAGTGACACCAATGATGGGGCACTATTCCTCCCACTGACACTTGCTGACTCTGTTCTCGTATGGTGCTGCTGCAGCCAGCATATGTGGTTGCAGCAGCACCTCTACACTGACCACTTACCTGCTGGTCCTGCACTCGATTTTCGCGCGGCCGCTCGGCTCCACCCTCTCGTCGGTGATTGGCCGCCTGTGTGCCTTTCCTGAGCTACAGTTCTGGCGGCCAATCGCTGGTGAGGAGGCGGAGCCGAGCAGCCGCGCGAACATCCAGTGGCCGAACTGAAGGCGCAGCCACGCTTCCTGGACCGGATCGTTGTGGGACCGGAACCAGGTAAGAAATAGCCCCTGCCCACCCCTGTACTTAGTGTCCCTTCCGTTAGGGGCTAAGGGGGGGGGGGGGCGGCGGGCGGCACCGCGCCGCCCCCCTAAAAAGTGTCATGTCATGTTATACCGGCGTATAAGACGACCCCCGACTTTTGAGAAGATTTTTAAGGGGTAAAAAGTCGTCTTATACGCCGGCAAATACGGTAGATCTCTCATAATTTCCACATCAAGTGGAGGGACATAGGTACATAGATCTCAACTCCAATTTCTTTGAGAAACACAACAAGCGATAACTGTGTTTTATCAAACCTGGCTCTTAAAAGGCCTTTTTCAATTAATACTCAATGTGGAATTTTTTAACCACTTGCGCTCTGGAAGGTTTTACCCCCTTCATGACCAGACCATTTTTTTGCTGTTGGGCACTGCTCTACTTTAACTAGCAATTGCGCGGTCATGCAACACTTTTTTTACATACTGTAAATAGAGCTTTCTTTTGGTGGTATTTGATTCCGACAGGTTTTTTTTGTTATATAAATGAAAGAAAAATGGAGATTTTGGAAAAAAACAATATTTTTTTCTTTCTGTTTTAAAACAGTACCCATTAAAAAAAAAATCAAAATTTCTTTATAAATTAAGGCCAAAATGTATTATGCTACATGTCTTTGGTAAAAAAAAAAAACCCAATAAGTGTATGTTAATTGGTTTGTGTGAAAGCTATATCGTCTACAAACGATGGTATTTATACTGTAATCTTTATGTATTTATTTATACTAGTAATGGCGGTGATCGGTGACTTATAGTGGGACTGTGATAGTGCAGTGGAAACCTGAGACTAACTGACATTTAGTGGGAATTAACTAACTGACACTGACATCACCAGTGTCAGTAACATGGTGATCAGTGCTAATATTGTACACTGTCACTGTTCTAATGCCACTGACTGGGAAGGGGTTAGCATTTTGGGGTAATCAAGGGGTTAGGTGTGTGCCTAACAAATGTTAATGTGTGTAATGTGTGCTGCTTTTTACTGAAGATCGCTTTGTCTCTTTTGCCTGCTTTTCAGGCAGAAGAAACATAGAGATCATTTC